GGACTTTAATAAGTGTACTCTGTGATGTCCATGTCCAGGGGTGGGGAACATCTGGCCCACAAGCCCTATAACGCCCACAGCATCACTTGGTCTGGCCTTGGCTAGGCAACTGCAGGCAGGACTCAAAATTCAATACATCTATAGCAGGCTAATTTTTCAGTTGACAATTTTGTATATCCAGATGGTCCTTGCAGGCGAAAAGATTCCCCATCCTTGATACACAAATAATTCTGGATGTTAAAAACAAAAGCAAAGATTTGGTAGTTTCTGCAGTAGTTAACATCTAAATCCCTTGCGGATCAGATATTGTTAAGGTCACTAGGTCAACATGAGTACCAGAGGCAAAAGATAAATGGAAGTGTCTGTGCTGTTAAATGAGGGAAGAATTACAGTAAGCAATCAGTATTTACATATCAAATGCCTTGCCCTGTTCAGTAGCCTGGTTGGTGGCTCCCAGCCCTCTCCCTGGGGGCTGCTTAGGGGAAATCTCATCTGCCTTTCACCACAGTGTGAGGAGTCAGGTGGGTTAATAGGGTGGTCCCAATAGAATTTGGGGTATAAAATATTTGCTGTCTTCCCCAAGGTTATCTTTAGCAAGAACAAAATGTCTGCCCTCCTTCCTTAGGAATCTCCAAATTTGCCAGAATGGCAAGGGGGTGGTGATTTCATCCTCCTGAGCTCACAGTTTATTGTGAAAACAAGTTACCTATCCCACCCTTCAGGATGGTTTATCTGGATGGTAAGTCCAGATGGTTTCTCTTTATCCAGACAAGAAAAAGGACTGTAAATCAGGCTTCGGGTTTTGTCCCTGCCTGGTAACTGAATGCCAATCTGATTGTCAAGTTTTTTTTTTTTTTTCCTTCAAAATTGGACTTAAAAACCCCAGTGCTATGAGGTTCTTTGGGTTTTTTTCCTCTCTTGGAAGCCCCACTCCATGCTTCTCTGGCTGGAGGTCTTTGACTCTAATAAATCTTTTAAAATCCCTCTGCTGTCCACTTGGAAATTCTTCTTCCATGTGAGACAAGGAACCAAGGTAACAGGAATTTCAAGCTCTGGGAGGGAGTCTACATCGAGAAGCCCTCCACCCAGCAGTGTTCCAGAAAGGAGGTACAGGAAGGGGAGAGGGCCCACACCCAACTCTAAATGCAGACCGGGCTCTCAGTTCTTTACCTGGAAGCCCACCTGGTCTCTGAGGTGTACACTCCATTATTTCTCTCTCTCTCTCTCTTTTTTTTTTTTTTTTTGACAGGCAGAGTTAGACAGTGAGACAGAGAGAAAGGTCTTCCTTTTCCGTTGGTTCACCCTCCAATGGCCACCCTGCGGCCGGCGCATTGTGCTGAAAGCCAGGAGCCAGGTGCTTCTTCTGGTCTCTCATGCGGGTGCAGGGCCCAAGCACTTGGGCCATCCTCCACTGCAGTCCCAGGCCACAGCAGAGAGCTGGACTGGAAGAGGAGCAACCAGGACAGAATCCGGTGCCCTGAGCGGGACTAGAACCTGGTGTGCCGGCGCCACAGGCCGAGGATTAGCCTATTGAGCCGCGGCGCCAGCCTATTTCTCTTTCTTTAAACTTTGCCAGCATGCATACTGGTTCCCTCTGTCTCATGGCTGAATTCTTTCTTGCTCAAAGACAAGAACCTCTAAGCAGGCAGTAACATTATGTCTAAATAACCTACTAGTGATTGGCAGGGTGCTACTGTGACTTTTTGAGGTTTATTTTAATAGAAGACTATCCATTAAAGTTTTATTCTTTTTCTTTCAAGACTTTTGTCTTTCGTGAGGCTGAAATTTTTTAAAAATTCTCCATCTTGAAGACTAGCCAGCATATAATCTCAGTTTCTTCAACTCTAAAATGGAGATAAGAATGTTTACAGAGCTATTATGTCAAGCCTAAGTGAGAACAAAGCCTTTTTTGAGTTTCAAGTTTGGATCAGGTTAAGCTAGGTTCCTTTTAGTAAAATCCAGTTCACTCTGCGTTCCTGGGTCCTTTTAACACTGCAGAAAAGTTAAGTTTCATAATGTCATGAACCTTTTTGTTTTGAAATCTCGAATTTAAACCTGCAGTCCACTTTTTTCCCTTTTATTTATTTATTTATTTAGTTAGTTAGTTAGTTTTGGATCAAATTTGACTACCAACAGAGTGCTTGGAGTAGCAGCCCAAGGCAGAACCGTCATTACTTTGCCACAGTTCTCAAAATGTCTGGGTTTCTGCAGCACACGGGAAAGCTTCAAAGGTGCAAAGAGTCCCTGGGAGTGGTTAGGAAAAGTACTCCTAATTTACTTTTGGGGGTACTTAAGCAGGTTGCTCAGGGAAAGAGTGGTTTTTTTTTTCCCCCTTTATTTTGTTGTCAATACTATCTCCTTCAGTTACCAAGGATTCTTGTTGCATCAAAGCACCCTTTTTCTACTGGTTCTAAAATTTAATGAGCCTTGGCTCAAAATGCAATACAGGAGAGGGCAGTTAGCCTAGCATTTCAGATGCTTGTATCACGTCTATGGCCATACTACCCTGATTGGAAGTGGAGCAGCTGGGACTTGAACCTGCACTTGTATGGGACGCTGGTGCTGCAGGTGGTGGCTTTACCTGCTATGCCACAACACCAACCCTGCATAAGTTTTTTTTTTTTTTTTTTTTTTTTTTTTTTTTTTTTTGACAGGCAGAGTGGACAGTGAGAGAGAGAGACAGAAAGGTCTTCCTTTGCTGTTGGTTCACCCTCCAATGGCCGCCCAGGCCGGCGCACTGCGCTGATCTGAAGCCAGGAGCCAGGTGCTTCCTCCTGGTCTCCCATGGGATGCAGGGCCCAAGCACTCAGGCCATCCTCCACTGCACTCCCTGGCCACAGCAGAGAGCTGGCCTGGAAGAGGGGCAACTGGGACAGAATCTGGTGCCCCGACCGGGACTAGAACCCGGTGTGCCGGTGCCACAGGCGGAGGATTAGCCTGTTGAGCCACGGCGCCGGCCCATAAGTGGTTTTTATTTCCATTTCCAGCTCCTGACTCCAGTTTCCTGCTTATTCAGACCCGGAGACGCAGGGAACTCTGTGTGTCTGCCTGTCAAATATATACATTAAAAAAAATTTTTTTAACTGTATCAGGAAAAAACCTAAATCTATAAAAACCAAAGACAAATTAGTGGATGAACTTTGTTGTAATAATTTTTACCACAAAATTTGTAAAAATTTAGTGTATCTAAATCTTCTAGACCTCCAAGATAATTCATAAATGTTTAGAGAGATTCAGAAACATACTTTCCATTATAGACCCTAAAATCTGCTTATTTTATCCTCATCATATCTGCTGTTCTTCAAATGTGGAGTCCAAACTGTAAAATCAGAATTAAAATGCAGTGAGTATGGCTAAAAGCTAATTGCAGATCTCCTGCTTCTGCACATATTAGCTTTGCTTGCTAATGGCTAAGGGTGTATCTTATGAAACTATGTGGGCCCAAATTCCCAGGAACTAGGTTGACCGAAATGTGTCCTTCACTGTTATCTTACAACCATATCTTGGATCTGTTATTGGGTTTGTTGTCGTTAACTGTTATCTTACAACCATATTCTGGTTTTCCTCTTTATTGTTCACTGCATACCAGGAGTCTGGTTTGAAATTGTGAGCCCTAGTGGACAGAACACTATAAAAAGCTGTATAAACTGCTGTTGGGGGCCTCATTCTGGTAAGGAATGTTGGTCCTGATTGGTGGCTGGCCCCAATCAGTTACCTTGCCTCTCATTTGTCTCTCATTTGCTTCTCATTTTCAATAAATTTCATGTGTGACTGTCATTGGTTTTTGTAACATTTTGTTTTAGCTGATGAGTGGATGCAACACAAACTATCTGCAATTAAAAAGAAAGCAAGAGGCCAGCGCTGTGGCGCAGTGGGTTAACGCCTTGGCCTGAGGCGCTTGTTTGGGACCCGGCTGCTCCACTTCCTATTCAGCTCTTTGCTATGGCCTGGGAAAGCAGTAGAAGATGGCCCAAGTCTTTGGGCCCCTGCACCTGCGTTGGAGACCGGGAAGAAGCTCCTGGCTCCTGGCTTTGGATGGGCACAGCTCTGGCCATTGTGGCCAATTGGGGAGTGAACCATCGAATGGAAGACCTCTCTCTCTCTCTCTGCCTCTCCTCTGTGACTCTGACTTTCAAATAAAGAAATAAATCTTAAAAAAAAAAAAGGAGAAAGCAAAACTAATTCAAACAATGTGAAAGGGTTACTTAACATACCATGTTAGCAACTTAAGGATAAGAAGGTTAATTAAAATTGCAAATACCTTTCAAAAAAGAAGTCTTAAAATTAGCTCATTGAAATTACTTTTGAGTATTCTAAAAATCTGCATATTGGTGATACCAGCTTTCTTACTAATTGTCAGATTCTACTCTTGACTTTCCAAAGTGTTTTAGCATAAACACATTTATATATATAAGAATATATAAGAATATAAATGAAAACAAGGCACTGAATAATCAAATGTATGTTATAGAAACTCTACGTACAGAATTATTTTTTTTTCTTTTTTGGTGTTGTGGCAACAATTGAAGTTAATAGGTGTATGGGTAACACAAAAGAAAAAAAGTTTAACTTCCAGGCAACTTTTTGTCTCTGCTCACGCCCACCTGTTAATTTTTCTTAAACTTATGTTGCCACAACTGAAGGACAGACTTTATTCTGTTTACATTAAATGGTGACTTAAGTGCACCATCTCCCCTCCTCCCCCGTATGCATTTTTGGTCAAGGCACAATGTAAATAAATGCAAACTTAAGGGACATTTGCCTTGTTCAAAACCATCCCCAGTCTGCAGTTGTAGCACCAGTTCTTAGCATCCCCAATAGTCTTGACACCATGAGAAGCAATCATGGCTTAATAAAACCTTCATTTACATTGGTAAATGCAAAAGCTCTGTGGTTGCTTAGAATTCTCTGGAGGCTGGGTGGGAATAGGTGGTGCCTCAGATTATATCAAAGAATATCAAACAACAATCAAAAGCATTTAGTCCTCTGCTCAGACCCACCCAGTCGGTGTCCGTCATTCTCGCTCCCTTGGTAAATTCTTGGTAAAATCTTCTCTTGCAGCAGATGGCAGAAGAGCGGCGAGCGCCCCGGGAAGTGGCCTTTTACCTGCACCTAATTAAACTAGAGAGGAACTATTGGCTGGATCAGTGAGCATAAACCGATCCGCCCGACCCAGGCAGCTTTCCTAGTCCTTTCTGGTGGCGGCAGCTCGTCTCCATAGCAACCGGCCGCGGGCGCCGGGGCCCGGATGTTGTGAGGCTCCGCGGCCTCCTGGCCCGGCTTCCTGTAGCCGCCCCGTGGTGAGCTGCACTCCTTTCTGGGAGTCGTAGTTCCTTACTCCGCCGCCGCCTGGAATGGATCCGCGAATGGGACTACGAGTCCCGGCATGCGCTGCGGAGAACTGCCGGCCGCCGCCTCCCGGCTGCGGACGCCCGAGAGCAGGTTGTTGTTTTTATGAGAGGCGTCACTGGCGCCTGGAGCTGTGACTGCCGCCACCGTGACAGCCAGTGCCGTCTGGCGAAGGTGGCGCTGCCCCTTCAGGTATGACTCTGGGCGAGTTCAGACCCCGCGAGAGGGTTTGGGGCCGACTGTCGGGGCGCGTGGACTGCACCCTCGGCACGGCAGCCTCCCTGGACAGCGGTGCAGTTTCTCTCCTGGGAAGGGGCTTCTCGGGCGGGCACTGGACCCGCTGGCGCTTGGCTGGGGCGACCGCCTCGGGGCAGGAGTCCACAACCCTCGCGGTTCGAGCTCACCCATGGGGCTTGGGGCCGGGTGGTCCTGTAGACTCCAAGCCTCGCGCGCACCTCGGAGCTGTGCTCCGGCGTGGGGCAGCCGGCGGCCCCGGGGACCCTTGTTTCGCTGGGTAGTTCTGGGGCGCTTCTCGGTCTCGACTGATGGGAGTCCATATGGTAAGATGAAGGGTGCGTCAGCCTGCCGAGTTTCCTGCCGGCCCATCTTTTTTGGTGACGTTTGAACCCCGTGATGCCAGGAATAGAAAGATTAAGTGTGAAATAATGCAGCTGCGATTTCTGCTGTTGCGCCAGCCTGGTAATGATCAAATCGCGGCCCCTACACTTCTCCCCTCAACCCGCCTTTCTTAGCGTCCATCTCTTAATTGATTTGGCGTGGTCAACAGCTGACCCACGCAGTCCCTTGCAAGCGTTCCGTGTTTGTCTTTAATTATAATGAATCTCCAACGCTCTTTCATCGGGAGCGCCGATTTTAAGGAACCCAGACAAGGAAGATAACTTTGTTTAGTGGTGCAATTGCACTGTTCCGACTTAGACTTAGTGAAACACGGAATTGAAAGACGGGCTTTCTTGAAGCTACTGTAGGTGTAGCTGCTTAGTACCGCTGATTTTAGGCTAATTTGCCTTCTTCAGTTCACATGCACAGTTATCAGCGCATATCTTTGGTTTAAGGTTTGCATCTTGCTACGCCCTGCACCTCCCAGGGGCTATTTTTACACACAAAGTGTGAATGGTTTACTATTTTTTCCTGAGCCTGTTGTGGAATGGTGGAAGGGATGGAGAAAGTGAGATTGTTTTAATTCATGATTTTGACCTCTTTACACTAAGAATGGGGTGCCAGTCAAAAGAGTTTGAAAAGAAACTTATTCCTGAACAGTATTTTAAGAGATGTGGCAAATACTCATTTTTAAATGAAAACTGCCCTGAAAGGAGTGTAATCTCCATTTTGTGAATTTAACCATAGAACAAGTGATTATATTTCCATTAAAAATAAGATGTAAGAGATATTTAGTTATAAAAGTGGTTCTCTAGATGATGAATGTTAAATAATACTTTCTTTTACTTTCCTGTATTTTCTAATTTTTTTGTAGAAAATTTTTAAAAAAGAATGTAATTCAGTTATGGACTTTTTAGACATTATTATAAAAAGCAAATAATCACTGCTTTGAAACGCAAGCCACACCAGTAAAAAACATAGAATCCTTGTTGTTGCATCCACAGATCATGTGAATTTAAAATTAAATTATTTTGGAGAGAAGCGACAAGAAGTGAATTAGTTGTATTGGGAAGAAGAAAAAACAGATATAACAATAATTGCTAGCATTTATGCGTTTTCTTTTTGTACACTAAGAGACAAAATTGCTTAGGTTTTCTTCAGTTAAGACTTGGCAATCTTGATGATTCTAAATCTATCAGGTAACAAGATTGAGACTATGAACCTACTGAGAGAATCTGGATGTAGCAGCGTTTCGGTTTATTATTTGTAAGCACTGATGGTGGAAATAAAAATGTTATGATGGGACGGGCACATTTTGAGCTTGTTAACTTTGAATGACTTTGAGTGCTATATGTGATATTTGGTGCTGTGTTGATGTTTGTTTTATTTTCTGTTACGATTGTGTTGTATATATACAGGTAACATAATTCATTATTTAGCCCATGTTTTGTCTTCTGTCATGAAGCAAGGACCACATTGTCCCGTAGGACCACTCTGCATTTTTGCTATTATCAGACTTAAAAAGTAGAGGTTTACCTCATTGCCAAGTGTCCATTAATTCTTAACATATATGTTTCTAAACTTTCTGGGGCCATTTTTCAGGCTGTTCATACTTTATTTTGTTAGGTTGTCTTATTTGGAGCTTACCTTCTCTCTCCCAGATTTCATTTCTTTTCAATATCATCTACTTTTTAATTTTGTATGTTTTGTGTTATCCATTCACAGATCATAAACAACCTTTGTGGTCAGTTAACATGTTTACTAACTTGATCCATAGTATTGGCTAGGTTGTACTAATTGTATTCCCACCCAAGTTAAACTTTTTAAAAAAATTAGGGGTGAACTGCTAAAATCATGGAAATAGTAGTTTCTCAAATGTTAGGAACATGGACCCAGCTTATTAACCCTGGGGTCATTTGAAACAGAAAATGCAGACTCATCTAACAGTGCAGAACTACCAGGGTCTAAATTATTTCAGAGTTTGTGTGTGTGGTTAAGGTGAGGAAGTTGCTATAAAGTGATAACAATTACACTTTCAAGAATTTCCTTCCTAACAGATCTGCACATCTGACTAGATAAAAACAGTTAAAAATTGGTGTTAAAGATCTTTCCCAATGTGTAGCACCCAGATAAATTTGTTAAAAAAATCATCTCAATTTGAATTCTGAGATGAAGTGTATAAGTATAATATGGGAAGGATTGCAGCTGATAGATTTATGGCTTTTTTTTTTTTTAAGATTTATTTTATTTATTTGAAAGAGTTACAGAAAGAGGTAGAGACAGAGAAAGAGAGAGAGTGAGGTTTTCCGTCTGCTGGTTCACTCCCCAGATGGCTGCAACAGCCAGAGCTGCGTGGATCTGGAGCCAGGAGCTTCTTCCGAGTTTCCCACACAGGTGCAGGGGCCCAAGGACTTGGGCCATCTTCTGCTTTCCCAGAGAGCTGGAGAGGAAGAGGAACAGCCAGGACTCGAACCGGCGTCCATATGGGATGCCGGCGCTTCAGGCCAGGGCTTTAACCTGCTGTGCCACAGTGCCAGCCCCAGATTTATGGATTTTTCTAAAAAGCAGGATTAATGTGTGAACAGCTGTTTAACAGCCTATAGCGTTTTCCAAGGAAGGATGAGAAAATTGAGGTGAGCTAAAGGTTTTCCCATGTGTCAAATGAAACCCCAAATAAAAAGTTTCTTTAGTCTTTATCCATAACTCATTTTCCTTCTGAAATGTTACTTCTGGTTTATATTGGCCAGCGTGATGAAATGTGGAAAGCGCTTTGGATTGGGAATCAGAGGATGTGTAATGACGTTGAGCAGGGAGTTTATCTTAGGAGTCTCTGTTTGTTTTCTTTGTAATCTATAATAGCCAGTTACCTTACTTCATGGGGTGTTTGTGGAGGTCAGATCAGATGTGAAGATGAAAGCACTTTTTAAGTGGCAGCACACAAAGTATTATTGGCTGCGGAAGCGATATTTACATAAAGCATCTTCCACATTTGAAGTATGATGTCTTGATGTGCTTCAGACTGGGAATCCTAATGAAAAAGAGTCAGATGGAGGCTTCGTTTGATTTCTTGGGAGAGCTTGAAGGAAATCTGGCTCCTTTCCTGACAGTGACTTTGCACTCTGCAGCGTTAAAGGTCCTGAAATTGCAGTGTGCTTCTAGGGTTTGACTTTAGTTTTTGTTTTAATTTCACATCTAAAAGTTTAAGATCATCAACCTAGTTTAACAGTAGGAAGTGTCTGTTGTTTTTATTGTTCTAACATGGACCTTTAAGTTGATTTCATGAACAGTTAGACTAAATTGAATATGAAATCCCAGGTCTTCTGAGAGACACTTTGCATGTGTAAGAGTTTAGATGCTGCTTCCGGCAAAATCAACCCTGGCTGTTAGAGCATCTGATTCTTGAGATTCAGTACTTAAGGTAACAAGGGCGTGGGAATTTTTTCTTATAATTTTTCTTTTAGCGCAGGCAGAGTTAGACAGTGAGAGAGACAGAGAGAAAGGTCTTCGTTCACCCCTCAAATGGCTGCCACGGCCGGTGCACTGCGCTGATCCAAAGCCAGGAGCCAGGTGCTTCCTCCTGGTCTCCCATGCGGGTGCAGGGCCCAAGCACTTGGGCCATCCTCCACTGCACTCCCCGGCCACAGCAGAGAGCTGGACTGGAAGAGGAGCAACCGGGACCAGAACCCGGGGTGCCGGCGCCGCAGGCGGAGGATTAGCCTAGTGAGCCGCTGCGCCGGCCAGTTAACAAGTCTCCTAGAAACATACTAGTAATTTTCTATAAGGTATTTATACTTTTTTTTTTTTTAAGATATATTTATTTATTTGAAAGGCCAGAGTTATAGAGAGGCAGAGGCAGAGAAAGATATCTTCCATCTCTGGTTCACTCCCCAAATGGCAACAGTGACTGGAGCTGAGCTGATCTGAAGCCTGGAGCCAGGAGCTTCCTCTGGGTCTCCCACGTGGGTGCAGGAGTCCAGGGATTTGGGCCATCTTTGCTTTCCCCGGCCATAGCAGAGAGCTGGATTGGAAGTGGAGCAGCCGGGACTCTCCGGTGCCCAAAAGGGATGCCTGCACTACAGGCGGTGGTTTTACCTGGTACGCCACAGCGCCGGGCCACATACAAGAAAATTTTAAGGACTTTATCAAAGTAAATATAGATAAGTGAAAATAAAAGGCAAGAAGTACATAATGTATCTTGGGTTGATAATGACTGCTTATGTAATTAAACTGATAACATCTTTACTAATTAACTAATGTCAGTACTAGAAAATAACAATGGGTACATATTATTCTGTGATAAGGTATATTAAGTTTAACAAATGGAAAACAAAAATTTATAAAACCCCTTTGTTTTGTAGTTTTGCTTCCTAGAAGTAGAAGACAGCAGGAAGAAAATTGGAGTGAATTATCCTTCTGTAAACAAATGTTTAAACAAAAATCTGTATAATGAATTTATATATTTTGTTTTGACTGGTAGCGTTATAGACAGTGAGAGAGACAGAGAGAAAGGTCTTCCTTCCGTTGGTTCACTCCCCAAATGGCCACTACGGCTGGCGCTGCGCCGATCTGAAGCT